ACTGCTTTCCCACATCAATACTTAAAATGGTAAGGATAAAATGTTGACTTGGCTGGTCTTCTAACAGGTGGATTAATGGGGGTCATTAATTTTTTTAGTAAAGATCTTTGTGGTGTAAAAAAATTCAAGATAGGGTTGGTCGCAGTTTTAATGTTTGTTGTTAACCTGGTCGTAACTCTGGATGTAAAAAGCAGTTATACGATGGCACAAAGGTGACAACCAAGGCAAAATCTGCAAAAGAAAAGTTTTATTCATTACCGAACTGGTGTCTGCAGCAAGATTTTGTTGTCAATATCTTTTTAAATGTTTTATTGTATGCTACTCAGAATTTGGTTCTGGTAGTGTCCTCTCTTTCTCAAGGCCTCTGGGGAGGCCACAAAGTAGATTTTAATTCCTCTCGGTGTCTTTGAACAGAAATTATTTCAGCCCTGAGTAGACGGTCAAAATAAATATGAGTGCTGTGGACTGCCAATGATGAGACTGCGCAATATAACAAAGGAACTTTTATAGCCGCGCTTTATGCAAATGATGTCCTGACATGTTCAGATTTTTAGAGATACTTAACAATGTATTATTTTATTTGAAATAATGAGAGTTACCTTGTGTATGTCATGCTGAAAGGAAATAATTACTTTAGAGTCCCAAAATTACATTAATTTGTATGCACAGAACCAAACTGCCTCTGGCAAGTTCATCTTCTAAAACAATCTTTAGATATATTTATTTAATTTGCATAAATGCAGAAAGAAATCCTGAGTCACACTTGGATGGTGATATTAAAACTTCCACACATGTATGAGATCCAAATATCTCGCCAGGTAATATCCATAAAGGTGTGTATCCCTTAAAAAAATAAAATACAAGGTCTCATTTCCAGCTTACATCTTTACTATAACATAACCTATGTATCCGACATCTAACAAGCACATCTGGTTGAAAACCCTTTTCGTCAATGCTTTGTACTGGCATCAGTCTCCCTCCCCCCAATATAATTTTCCTCCTTTTTTTTTGGCACACTGCTACCTTTAATAGTGCATTACCACCAACAACAGTAATGTATATTGACTGATGTGCAGACCTGCTGGTGGAAAGATGTATGGATATCCATTACCATCCTTCACAGTCCACAGAAATGTGAATCACATCACTCCACGCTTTTACTGTATGGATATAATTGTTGGTGCAATGCTAGAGCACTTACCTTTAACAATAAACTGAATTATGTGTATTCAATACCTTCCACCTCTTGTACAGTAAATGGTAACAAAGTAGACACTGCTGCTGTTTTGTTTTCATCTATTGTTGAAAGCTCATTTTACTGGGAATAAACTATTCCAAGGATTCCCCTCATGGCACTAACATTGTTTTAGCTGGTTTGGTCCTAACATCACTCGGGATCAATGTCTCACTGCACCCGTGAGAAGCAAATGAAGGATCATATTAGTGTCATATTAGTGAGGTTTGCATTACTGATCTAATGCTTCTCGTTTGTATGTCTACAATATTTGTGATTTAAGCAAGTTATTTTGAAGAAGCCTCGGTTACACGAAGTCATTTTCCCTGGGGGTTCCTGGAACCAATTTTGAGAGCCAGTGCTTTAGTAAATACTATACTGATGTAAAAAGTATGACGAGGTCTGTTTGTGACAACCTGGTGCGACCGACAACAGGAAATGGCAAAATTTGTGCTGGAGACTTCAATCTTTCTGCCTGTGCACCTGAACACTCAGATACCCAGTAGGGGTGTACGTACCTCCTGACCAGGCACTTATTACTGCTGATGGGTTGGCACCGATTATAACTCTCTCTCACACACACACACACGCACACACACTACCAGTTTGGAGCCATATTTGAACAATCGATCTCAAGGGTTTAGGAGCCACAACCTGAGGGGAGATGAGTGGAAAGAGACTGAAATCCGTTTCAGCTTGGCTTAGTGCTGATGCGTTCATAATCCATTAGCTCTTGTCATCACCTTGAATTTGCCAGAAAAAACCCCCCAAAAAACACACAAACTTTGTCTTTTTGTGATGATTGGATTTTCCAAAGAAGCTGTTATTATTGAATATGGAACATAATGTCATATATTTTAAATATAGCTATACAAGAATATACAAAATATGCATTTATTATTTAAACAAAAGTCATAGACATCAGCCTCAAAGTGCCACCCAAGAAGTGGTTGCCTCCAACCTGTCCTAATCAGCAGGGACGCGTCGGTAATCAACATGTCATGCCAGTATGCGATTACGATGCCCAACGGGGAGCACTATTCTCTGTCTTCATTCTGATTGGCATCCTCACATGGCTTGTTTATCTGGGCTAAGTGGCAGTGCACATGACCTGCCCTAGCCAGCTAATTAGACCAGGAGAAAGATTAGAGATGGGCTGCTTGTAATAATATCCCCCTCCATTTTTTCTGGAAATCATTTGAGTGTTCAGGGGGCAAACAGTGGCTTCCCAGTAATAACACCCTTCAGAGAACAGTGACATTTTAACCTAACAAATGTGCAAGTGGCACTGAAAACACAGTGTCTGTTACCTTTTAGGGAAAAAAAAGTAGACATGTAATGTGTCGAGACTCAAGGCAGATACTACTGTATATCCATATTTCATCCTCAGTTCAGGAAAATATAATGATGAAACCGAAGAACTTGACTTAAAAATAGCATCTACCACCAAAAACATTCTGTCATTTAACAATATTGTTATTTAAAGACATCAAATCATATTGACACACTGCCTGAGGGCACAGACACATGCGCTTTAGATTTTTTTTTTTTTTAGCAAAGATATGAATCTGCATACAAAAGAATAAAAGAAGAGAGACAAAAAGAGACCAAAGTAGAATCAAAAGATGGTAAAAATAAAAATGAAAACCACGCACTCTCCCACTCTCCAGTTTGTTCTTTTCAGAAATGATGAAGAGCACTCGATACACGATGTTACTGCAGAAGTACAGCTAGGTATACAGTAGTAATGGGCACAAGCATTTTCAAGCCATGGGAGCAACAAGTACCTCATCAAAAAAAGAGGGCAAGACCATCATGTGACAGTAAATTCATGAGCCCAAAGTTCAGTTTTAGGTGTGACATTAGGTCGGTCTGCCAAAACCATTCTCCTGAAGCGTTAGGCAGCTTCCAGTGTGGGTAGGATGAGTGTACAGGCAATAAAAGAGGTAAAGGCCAAGACATTTAAGGCATTTAGTTTTTCCAGAATCCTCTAAGGGCGGCAGGGTGTTATGGTGGTCAGCACTGTTGCCTCACAGCAAGAAGATCGTGGGTTCCAGGCCAATGCCTTTCTGTGTGGAGACTGTATGTTCTTCCTGTGTCTGCATGAGTCCTCCCCAGGTAATCTAGTTTCCTCCCACATGTTCATTCTTTCATAAAAGTGGTTATTTGTTACATAACATCTCAACACATGGAAAAATAAGCAGTCACAAGTGCCATTCAGTTTTACTTTCAGAGGATTGAACTCAGCCAGAGAAAGAATCTAAGTGATGGCGATTTATGGTGGCAAAAAACTTCCAAAAGAAATGCACATTCATAACAAAAAGGAGTTCTTAAGAGAGCACAGGAAGCATCAACAGACAGTGAAACAAATATGGGTGAAATAACACAAGCAGGAACCAGAACACGATCACCCAATACTGAAACAAGAAACCGACAGTGACAGAGATGGTGGGAAAATGGTTAAAAAAAATAGTGGCACAGCAAATTCAACAGAATAACCAGGATCAGGACCAAACAAAAGCTTTTACTGAGATTTCAACTGTACTATCAGTTCTGCCAGAATAACCAGTGTGGGTGTTTTGTCACTTCTTTCCACAGATGACTGTTAACAGAATAGATCTCGAGTGTTTCTCAAATGTTCAAGTCAGACGAATAAAACTGCTTCTGCTGGGGGAAGGCTTGAAGCTGAAATGGTTAAAAGAAACTGCTGGTAGCAAATAAATCAAGTCACACACAGAGAGGGTTCTACATCAACCATAAATGCTGATGAGGAGCAATTAAGTGAGTAATCAAATGAGTGCAGATGAAAATATTACAACACATACAGCCAGAGGGCAGGTGGCATGGCAAAAAAAAAAAAGCAAAATAAGTATGCAGAAAACCTATTAGGCATTTCTTAATAACATAAGATATAATTAGTCAGTTCAAGTGAAGGGGTTAAAGACATAATGATGATGATTTTGATAATCATGCACCAGATATTATAGGGAGGAAGTCTATCACACAAGCGTTTAGAAACTGCACTGATATATTCTGCAGCTCAAACCTTTGTTAGTCAAGAGAGATTTGCAACAAGATGACCGAAAATCCGCTCAGACCTGCCACATGGGGGCGGTGGCGTGCACGTAAAAACCACAAAACCGCCTACAGTCCGTCAACACTTGAATAAGGTGAAAACGTCCTCGCTCTTAATTGAATTACCAGCAAGCACCTTCACACTATGGAACAAATAGCCAAATATAAGTGGAAGTGACGGCAGTAAAGTAATAATAATCAAAAACCTGAACACAATGAATCATGTTTTTCTTTCTTCTCTTCTCTGTAATCACCCAGGTCTCATTCATTTGAATCTCACCTGCTGCTTCCATATTAAATCCTTGACTATTTTCCAAAGTTCAAGAGGTCTTAAACGTTTTAGGACTGCCACTATTTAAATATTGAAAGAGAACTGAGTGATTTTCCTCTAACACAATGTTTCAGTACTCATTGCTTCAGGCTCATGGTGCTGCAAAAAATGATGAATGGTTTTCATTTTATGGCTCACCCCGACTTTTTTTTTTAATCGAGACAAACAATACTGCCTCTTGAGAAGCTGTGAAGCTATTATAAATATGTTCGTGTATGAGTTACACACATAAAATACGAATCAGGCTTTTCTTATTCCCACTGCTCACACACAGACGCACACAAACCACACGCCCTTTATGACAGCAGTCCGCGACTCTGGCAGTTCATTTGGCAAAAGCGCAGCAGCGCACCGCGCTCACCTCTCCTAGTGCGCACCAGCCCTCGATTAACGCGCGACGCTCACTGAGACACATCTACAGTAACCGAGAAGGAGTAAAAAATAAATAAAAGAAAGGATATTAATCTAGTTTTTTTGTTTTTACGTTTTTATTTTCTTTTGCAAATTGGGAAAAAGACAACTTATACCTCATTCAGTCAGTGTGATGGACAATGGATGCAGAGTAGTGTTATCTGACACTTTAAAGGCTCGAATTCCTTTAAATTTTTTCCTAATATTATACGGCATCAACTTACGCTGCGAACATTAAATCAGAATCATGGCTGACTACGTGAGAAATGAGACATCCATCAACCCCGAGTGCGTCGTAGCGCAGGTCGACGCGTTGAAGAACGGAGCGGGTAACGGGAGCTTGGAGGCAACAAACATCGCCTGCGGCAACGCGTCCACACTCCTCATACCTCAGCGTGCGAGGCAGAGAGGTGAGCGCGCACACACATAGCTCATCTTTTAATGAAATGAAATGTGCCACCATAATGTCTCTTTGTTTAATTTTAACGCGCTATTATCTGTACTGAAGCATTGCATACGTCCGCAGACTGTATGCAATGTCCAACTTAAGTTTAATTTGTAGTATTGACTTCATTGGGATGTGATGGGACTGATGAGCTCTGATTTCAGAGAAACTAAAACGGATTGTTTTTGTTTTTCAAGTCCTTAAAACTACAACAAATACAATAAGAATCTGTGCTTTTAACAACTTAAGGTAAAAGCATTCTGTGCTTAACATTTTACCTGGAGGTGACAAACTCACTTTCTGTCTGATACCATTACAGTCTTTAGGACTGAGTTTATTGGAAGTATATGGAGGTGCGTTAATACTTTTTTTTACAGTAAGGCTGTTTTTTTAGGTTCTATTTATTTTAAGCAAAAAAGTGTACAGAGCAGCAGTGAATTACAGATCAAAGAGGATGCACACAGACAGAGAGGCACATCTAACCCTGGCCACACAGGGGATTTATTCATAAAAAAAAGTCACATCAGGGCTGTTCCTCACGGTCATCCCAGTCCTAAAGCATTTTAATGCACTTTATCCAAATTGTGATGAGAACAGAGCACCTGTTATGCATAGAGTTCCCCCACCCCCCATGTAAATCTATAAATTTTGGAGGAGAAAAAAAAGGACATTTGAGTGCATCATCACACTTGCAATTTCCTGTGTCCTGTTTCCAGCTGCTACATTACATTGTGGGGTCTCGCTTTAAGGCTTCGTAGGTATTGTTGTCACTGAGGAGAATAGTGATCTTTGTGTGGTAATCCATTGTGTTTAGGACCACGGTGCACCTTCCCTTATCAGCTGGTAATATAGTGATGTTGTGGTCTTTGCTCAGGGAAGCGACTGCCTTCTTTTCTTGTAATGTGAGGTTAGATGGAAGGACTTTGGAACTGGAGAGGGTGGCTGAGACTTTCATCCTGATTTGCTCTGCTTCTGTCTGTTATAATTTGTTAATCACTCCCACTGACATCCTGGGCCTTCTGACCTCAGGAAATAACATGATAGGGTGGGGCCAGGTTTCACAATGAGCTCACCCGACACCCTGGCTGATTGGGACCCACACCCGCTTTCACACCTTGGCTCATGTGATTAAGTAGAGGATCATCAGGGGGTCCTTTGTCCCTCTTTGGGGGGAAACTCCCACTAGGTTTATATCTGGGACTCTCCACCATTTGACCTTAGAACTGAAGAAGCTTCTCGGATGAGAGGTGAAACGTCTTCAAGCAACTCAAAGAAGTCCAGACGCTTTTCTTTCCAAGCTCCTTAGACTACGATGACCTGGATGACTGAGAACCTTCACAGACATTATCAATCAATCTTCACTCCTCAGAATTTGTCAGTGTTTCTGTGTTTGGATGAGGTGGTTTTGCCACATGTGCCTACGCTTGTGTGTGTGTTTGTGAGCAGCATAGTGTCAGTATACTTTTATATAAATGACAGATACCTGTACCCCTTTTATAAGACTTTAAACTGTAGTGCATTGTAGGCGATGATGATTGATTTGCCTCTCCCTCAATCATTCCCATCATTACACGCAATCTTTTACACCTCCCAGTGGTAAGTAATTTCAAACTGAGGCTGAATTTGAACTCTGCAAATTACAAGCCCACTGAGGGCACATCTAACAAGTACAGATCAATGTAAGGTGGCTTGTGTCTCCTGAGCCTGGCAGCAGATGTGTTTGATATATTATATGCAGCAAACTAAGATATTTTCTTTCCCCCACAACATGTCAATCACTCCTTCAAATCAGGCCGTTCTTTCTCTCTGGTTAATATTCTCACTGTATCTCCTAACTGCACTTCATACTGATCTCAGATGAACATAAATAGATCAAATTAAAGTGTCGGACCCAGTGCAGCTGCTGTCACCCTCATTTCTCACTCCGTCACTCCCAAATTGATTGCTTCTCCACCTCTGTCAATCATTCTTCTCATCTCCTCTTTCTGCCCTTCTGTGTTTATCAGGCAGATTGAGTTGCATCACTGTCAGACTTTAAAAGAGTTACGTATGTTTTATGCAGATTGGTGACCTCAAGGAGCGTGCCGTGGACCACATGTAGTCTGCAGGGATTTAGTAAATTTATCCTTCCTCAATGGATGACATTTATTTTGATCAGTGAGATATCTCCAGTCCAGGCTCCTCCTGTTTGCTAAAGAGTGTTTTTTGTATAAATCATCTGATATGTGTATAAGAGGAGAGGGTACACTAAAAGCCAAGCTATGATACTGCATGATTTACAGTAGGTTGTGAATGAAATTTGCCATAAAAATGGAAAACACAAAGGGAAAGTGCTGTAAGTATTAAATGGGAGAATTTAATGCACGTTTTCTGAAGACAGAAATATGACACAAAATTGTTGGAATAACCTGGTAACAAAAAAAGGGTTGCTCTGCAGAATGTCTATGTACATCCGCTGCTTTGTGAGCATTTCACCATGGATACTGGCATTCACCCCTGAGCGAGGCACAAAGTGGGAGCGAGCGCATGTCAAAGTAAGGCCAAACCTCTGCAAGCTCAAGGTGGAAACATGTTGCTCGACTGCAGACACCTTTCAAAATGGTTTCACACTCAACACAGTCCAGGTGTTGTTTCAGGTTTGAAAAAGAAAAATAACAAAACAAAAAGCGAGAAAAAAAAGGTAAAAAAAAAGAAAAGACACCTACGTATTCTCTAAGGGCTTCACGGCACATGGATTTACATCATTGCTGTAGACTTCAGTTACTGTGGCTTCACAGAAAGCTTGTCACACGTTGCTTGGTTTTCATTAATAGAATCAATAAAAATGTTTATACTTTATCTAGGATACTGGAAAACCGGTGCATAATTTGTCACTCGAGCAGCGGGAGGCAATTTCTGGAGAGGATGATGAAAAATAATGAAAGTGGGATCTGTTGTCAGTGCCAGGAGCAAACCACCATTTCAAATCTGTTTTCAGAAAGCAGTTTACGCAAAACAAAAGGTGTCTAGTAAACAAAAAAACCCCAAAGTAAAATGTACAAAAATGTAAGCATTTTTCCTTTCATTTCTTCTTTTTCTCCCACCACTTCTCTCAGCGCTCCATCTACTGTCGCTCACACCCTCGCTTCTCACTCTGCCTGTGAGAGCTGAGGTGTTTAATACATGCCTGCGCTGTGGGACAAGCAGCAAACCTAATGTTCTGCATGCTGACTGCTGTGATGGGAGACTGTGGATTGCATGCTGTAGTCTGTCAGTCAGCAGTAAATGGGTTTGCTCGTTGCCGCGATCAATTGTTCGGTTGGGGCGTGGGGGTGGGGTTGGGGGGTGTTGACTTAGTGACAAGGCTTAGGTGGCATTTACCCTGCTGGATTAGCCACTAGCTGTGACATTTACAGAAGACGAGCCAGCTTTCCTTTCACAGACGCAGCGACACGAGGGTATACTGGGATTTAAAACGATGAGTGTTGCATATGTTTAACAGACTGGTGAAATGCAGGGTTAGTTAATTATCTATAATATCCTGTATAGCTACTGGTGGCAAGAAACATATGAAACCTTTAATATTCATTAACGAAATACAAACTCTTATTCTTTTGTTCATAATTTAACATATTAAATAACAGACTTACTTTACTATTCAGTTGAATTGTTACAGGTGATTTGTTAGCATCTGCTCTGCAGTGTTTAAACAGCACTTTAATGGCTGGTAAGTTGTTATTAATGACATGTTAGATATGCTGTCGCACATTATTTGCACATTTGTTTGTTCTGCATTAAAAAAAAGTGTAACAATCAATGGTGTCCAATACGGCCCACATCTTGCATCTCTGTGTGATCTGCCCAAATTCAGAGACGTATCTCTCTATGACATAGTGAAACAATATGTGCTGGCAATGGAGCCGAACAAGAAATAAATGACACATGATCTAAAGTAGCATATCTGGCCTCTTTCGGATAATTGCAAGCAGAAAACCCCCAGCAGTTAAAACAAAGTGATTTTTCCTGCAGTCTGTAAACAGAGAGCAGACTGTGTGTCAGCGTCAGTGGCCAGACGTGGATGTGCTACAGGCTTCCCTTCTGTCATTTGGCTCTTTAAACTGAAACGACTTTTGGTTTAGCTGGGTACAAACAAAGCCTTGCCAAATGGTCAGTGTTGGTTTCAGCAATAACTTCCTATCTATAGAGTAATTTCCTGCAACATTAACCATTACATGATATTTCTCTGCCTCACTGGCAGCTCTGGCCTCTGTGTTATGTTTGTGTCTGTCCGTATGTGTCTGATTTGATTTTTTTTCCCCTTATCTGGCCCATTCTGCTGTATAACAAGAAAACCAGATGCAAATTTTTCAGGCCAGAATTCAAATATGCTGATAATTACAAAAATTCAGACTAATATGTAACTTCCTGAGGTCTAAGTTGTCATTTCTCATTTTATAAAATTGTTTTCTCAAATCTCCCAAGGGAAAAAAGAAAACAATCATTCTAAGAAAAAAAAAAATTCCACCCCCAATCACCCTATATTTTGCCTTTCTCTAAAATATAGCATAATGGCGTAGTAATGTTAGCTTGGCTCAAAGCTCAGTATACAGTGGGGAAGTGATGACATTTTATAGTGTGAAGAAGTATTTGTCCCTTCCTGATTTTTTTCTCTTTTTTGTTTGCATATTTTGCACACTTAGATTCAGATGGTCAAACAAATTTTAATATTAAAAAAATGCAGTTTTTAATGCATGATTTCATGTATTACGGGAAAAAGCTTTTCATACTTACCTGGCTGGTATGAAGTAAACTGGAAATTCCTGCCTTATTTTTAAGGGTATAGCAGATGTCTTGGTCATGATTGCTAACTTAATGTTATGGAGCAGCTAGTGTATCTAAACTAAAAAAAAAGCAACCAATAAAAAGCAGCATATTATTCCATGATCACAAGAAACTCAAGAACAGCTAAGAAAAAAAACTGTCCAG